TTGTAGTTGTGCCAGCTATATGGTGAAAGCTGAGCGGTGGAAGCTACGCCGTGCAAGATATGGTGTGCAAGCTATGAGGTGCAAGACACACAGTGCGAGCAAGCTAGGTGGTGCAGCCCATCACGCTATCACGGTGCAAGCCACATCATCTGAACCATGTGGCGGCCAAGCTGGGTTGCGTAAGCTCTGTGGCGTCGGCTGTGTGGTGCAAGATCTATGGTACAAGCTACTCCATATTTCGTAATAAAAGGGAGGGGGTCTGGACCCTCCAAGACAAGTCATTTCAGACCTCCCCCGTGGGATAACCCTCCAAAACATCGTCCCCAGACCCCCCCAGGCCCTCCAAAATAGCCTGGAAGAGACCCCCCCCGAAATGAGACCCCCCTCCCTTTATTACGAAATCTGGAGTACGTATGCAAAAACAATACCGTGATGCAATCTGCGCGACCGGCCAGCGCACGAGGCGGCCACGAAGCTCCCACGGGCGGGCACCAGGCGACACCCGGGCGCGGCACCTCCACGCAGCGCTCAAGGGGTCTCCACGAGCGGGCACCCACCGCACCATCGGCGGGAAAAAACACGCAGTGGGAAAACACGCGGTTAGAAAAAAACGCACAGTGGGAAAAAACACGGTGGGACAAAACACAGTGGAAAAAGAACACAGTGGGACAAAAAACACAATGTGTGTTTGTTCCCACAGTGTGTGTGTGTGTGTGCGTGTTTTTCCCACAGGGTGCTTTTTTTGCCCACCCAGCGCACGAGGCGCCCGCGAGGCCCCCACGCGTGGGCACCGAGGTGGAACCTCGGCGCACCCGACCGGCGCACGATGGCGCCCCCGGGCGCCCCCGGGCGGGCGCACCGGGCGGACTCTCGGCACGCCCGCCCGACACGACACGCACGCAGCGCGCTCACGGGCGTCCACCAACCAGGCGACCGGCGAACACCATGCACACCCAACCAGGAGCGCATGCTCTTTGTTTCGGTAGTGACGGGCGTCATTGGGGGGGTATGACGTCATGCCCCCCCCCGCCGTGTCCCCCCCCCCGCCGTAAGGCTCCAGCACCAGATCCGCGCCCGCGCGCACGACGACGATGAACTACGAGCGACGAACGACGAGCGACGACGACGACGACGACGACGACGACAACGACGACGACGACGACGACGACGACGACGACGGCGCGAGCAGCATGTAGATGGCGATCTGCCCCACAGCGCTTGTGTACACCACAATGCTCGCGTGCACCACAGCGCGCGTGTACACCACAGCGCCTGCGTACACCGCAACAACCGTGTGCAACGCAGCGCAGGTCTACACCACAGTGCTTGCGTGCACTACAGCGACAGTCTACGCCACAGCGAATGCGTACACCGCAGCAACCATGTGCAACGCAGCGCCTGTGTACACCAGAGTGCTTGTGTGCACCGCAGCTGTGTACACCACAACGTCTGTCTACACCACAGCATCCGCGTGCAACGCAGCGCTGGTGTACACCACATCGCCTGCGTCCACAGTACACGTAGAAGGAGCATGTAAGGAATGATCTGCTGCGGAGAGCTAAACGCCGCGCCAAAGAAGCGCCGAAGATAGAATGCGATGTTTTTTCCTCGCCCGTCTTCCTCCACCTCCACCTCGTCCTCCTCCTCCTCGTCCTCCTCCTCCTCGTCCTCCTCCTCCTCCTCCTCCTCCTGTTGTTGTCCCTCACCCGTTCCCCCCTGTCGTGCGGGTCGGCGCTACAACGCACGTGCGCATCTCAGCGTGCACCGCAGAATGTCGATCCACTTGGGTCTCGGACTGCCAATTTAGCTGGAGTCTCCTGGACGCAGATGGAAAGAGTTAGGATGGTGCGGGCGGACTCGGGAGGACTCGTAGATTCCAGCGGCGCTCGTTTTTCCTTAGGGATTCCTTTTTGACCCAATCGTATAGTCAACCATTGGTTCCGGTGGAATCCACAAACGCTCCATTTGTCCTACAGATGTCGTTGAACATTCTACATACAACAATGGTGCTCTGTTGCACACGGTTGCCGTGGTGCACGCAGGCGCCGTGGTGTACGCAAGCGCTGTAATGCACGCGGGCATTGTGTACACTGGTGCTGTGTTGCACACGGCTGATGTGGTGTACGCAGGCGCTGTGGTGTACACATGCGCTGTGGTGCCCGCAGGCACTTAGGCACACGCTGGCGCTGTGTTGCACGCGGCTGCTGTGGTGTACATAGGCGGTGTGGTGTACACAGGCGCTGTGGTGCACGCAGGCATTGTGGTGTAAACAGGCGCTGCGGTGCTGATCGCCAATTACGTGCTGCTGCTACCCGTCCTCGGTCATTCTTAGGCATTCCCAAACGCCACCTGCGCGAAACGTGATGTCATCGGCCCCCCCAACCCCGCCCACAGATGATTGCCGTCATCGGGCCGTAATAAAAAAAACGAACTTACCCTGGCGAGGTACCCAACCCTTGCGCAATGCGGGGCATAAATGCATCAATATTGCTACAACGGGGACGATGGCGTAACATGGACGCATATGATTTAACGAGCAGCAGTCGGAAGGTTCGCAGGCCCCCGATCAAGATATAAAGGCTACGTAATAACAAATCACCCCAGTTGGCTGTGCCACGCGCCCGTTGCACACAGCGTATCCCACAGCATCTCTTGAGAGCCCCCGCGGAATACGTGTAGGCGCAAAGTTATGGCAATTGCCCGGCAGATGGTCTGTTTCACAAATCACCCCCGTTGGCTGTGCCATGCGCCCGTTGCGACTACCGTATCCTGCAGCAGCTCTCCAGAGCCCCCCAGGGACAGCGAGGTCTCGCTCAGATCCCCGCGGTGCCTCACTCCGCAGGACCCACCAGCAGCCCTCGAAAGTGGCGGCAGTGTCGCAGATCGCAGCCCCCCAGGGACGGCGAGGTCTCGCTCGGATCTCCGCGGTGCCTCACTCCGCAGGACCCACCAGCAGCCCTCGAAAGTGGCGACAGTGTCGTAGATCGCAGCCCCCCAGGGACGGCGAGGTCTCGCTCAGATCCCCGCGGGCCCTCACCCCGCAGGACCCACCAGCAGCCCTCGAGAGTGGCGACAATGTCGCAGATCGCAGCCCCCCAGGGACGGCATGGTCTCGCTCAGATGTCCGCGGTGCCTCACTCCGCAGGACCCACCAGCAGCCCTCGAAAGTGGCGACATCGTCGCAGATCGCAGCCCCCCCAGGGACGGCGAGGTCTCGCTCAGATGTCCGCATGCCAGCCCTCACAAGTCGCGACAGTGTTGCAGATCGCAGCACCCCAGGGACGGCGAGGTCTCGCTCAGATTCCCGCGGTGCCTCACTCCGCAGGACCCACCAGCAGCCCTGGAAAGTGGCGACAGTGTTGCAGATCGCAGCCCCCCAGGGACGGCATGGTCTCGCTCAGATGTCCACGGTGCCTCGCCCCGCAGGACCCACCAGCAGCCCTCGAGAGTGGCGACAGTGTCGCAGATCGCAGCCCCCCAGGGACGGCGAGGTCTCGCACAGTCCCCGCGGTGCCTCACTCCGCAGGACCCACCAGCAGCCCTGGAAAGTGGCGAACCTGTCGCAGATCGCAGCCCCCCAGGGACGGCGAGGTCTCGCTCAGATTCCCGCGGTGCCTCACTCCGCAGAAACCACCAGCAGCCCTGGAAAGTGGCGACAGTGTCGTAGATCGCAGCCCCCCAGGGACGGCGAGGTTTCGCTCAGATCCCCGCGGTGCCTCACTCCGCAGGACCCACCAGCAGCCCTCGAAAGTGGCGACAACGTAGCAGATCGCAGCCCCCCAGGGACGGCGAGGTCTCGCTCGGATCTCCGCGGTGCCTCACTCCGCAGGACCCACCAGCAGCCCTCGAAAGTGGCGACGCTGTCGCAGATCGCAGCACCCCAGGGACGGCGAGGTCTCGCTCAGATGTCCGCGGTGCCTCACTCCGCAGGACCCACCAGCAGCCCTGGAAAGTGGCGACAGTGTCGCAGATCGCAGCCCCCCAGGGACGGCGAGGTCTCGCTTGGATGTCCGCGGTGCCTAACCCCGCAGGGCCCACCAGCAGCCCTCGAAAGTGGCGACAGCGTCGCAGATCGCAGCCCCCAGGGACGGCGAGGTCTCGCGCAAGGCGAGACGAGACAAGAGGGGAGTGGGAGACGGGAGGAGAACTGGAGACCGCAGTGCTCTATGCAAAACGAATACCCAACCAAGGAGGGTTGGGAGAAAACCGCGTCCGCGCGCACAACGACGATGAGCGACGAGCGACGAGCGACGAGCGACGACGACGACAACGACGACGACGACGACGACGACGACTGCGGACCAAATTCCTATACGGATTCCGATGCGGACACCTATGCGGATCCCGATGCGCACGGCGGCAGTGCCCGGAGCGCACTGGGGGGGGGAGCGTTTCGTCATGGGGGGGGGTGGGGCGGCGGGGGCCATGACGCCCGTCATGGGCCAAGCAATAAAGAAGCACGCTCCAAGTACCTCAAGAAGCCCGAACAACTGTGAAGCTAACGCTGTATGCACACGTGTTTTGTTTGACCCGGGTCTTCCCTCTTGGTCCAGTGTCAGTGCTGGGCGCGAGCGTGCCCTTTCAGGCCCCCAGGGGCCTCCCTGCGTATGCCTGGCCCTGTCCTCTGTCCTCTCCAAGACCTCCTCGCCTGGTGCCCCGTGCGCCTGTCCGCCGCCATACTGGATCAGGCCTTGCGTCGCATCGGCTGGAAAAGGGCGGCCACCGCGCGCTCGTCCCCCCCTGCGGCCGCCTCGCCCCAAGAGTGATGGGGCCCAGCCAGACACGGCCTCGAGCAGGCCGACCACCAAGCAGGAGGGCTCCCAGGAGCCCACTATCGAGCAGATAGATCAGCGAGCCCAACGCTGCTAGTGTGCTAGTGCGTCCCTCGCAGTCAGCACCCCGAAATACAAACACCGCATCGGGGAACAACATCGCAAATTGGAATCAGCCCTTGTACCATACAAAAACACACGTACCACATACGCATTGCATTTCCAAGTGCACACGATAATTAACATTAATGTGGGGGTGTTGCAGCCTGAATTCCCATCGACGGTCGCCAATGACCAGCATCAGCACACAATAGGAAGGACCACACCTACGGATATCACGTAGTGTCGCCTCCCCCTCCAGGAATGAGATTGCCAGAGTGACGAGCGTGATGTGTAATTGTGCTGCGATCTCGCAGGAAAATCTGAGATGTGTCTATCTGTGGCAAGACAAGGACTGCGCCTATCCGCCACAGTGCCCGAATTAGGCACTGAGGGAAGTGTTCTCAGGTCCTTCTGGCCTCTTCGTAATGAGTACACCCAGAACGCTGCCTCAAGAACGCAGATGAAGAAGTCGATCCCCTTGCCGAAGGCCAAAGGTCCCATAGAGATGCCCTGCACAATAGTTCCAAGGTGGAGAGCCCAACACGAGCAGCAGAAGGGCCCCCTCCCAAAAATAAGGTCGGTCATTAACCCCTCAGCAAGCTGTATCGTGCAAGCATGGTTACCCGAGTACCGGGGGCCCCCTGGCGCTTCTAGATGCGGCCAGGGTTTAGCGATTAACTCCTTGGGAGCCAAACAGCATTGACTCATGCAATTATGTGCTAGTGTGTTTTCCTCCCTGGAGGAGCACGAACTGGCCGCGGAGGGACACGAGCTGGCCCCCGAGACCGCCAAGAAGGCTCCCAAGAGGCCCGCAGTGCCAACCAAGAGGCTCCAGGAGGCCTCCAGTAGGCCTCCCAGAGGCGCCCCAGAGGTGCCCACCAGAAGTCTCCAGGGGACCCCGTGGCAACTCCAGCGATCCCCAGAGACACCCACCCAGGCACGGTGGCGGGATGGGCTGAAGGCCGCTAGATCCGCCGCCCCCTGCTTGCAGGGGTGCACGGCGTGCTGGATGTTTCAGGTTTTGGTTTTGGTTCTTTTTCCAAAAGAACTCCCCAGTGGGCTCCGGCAGAACCCGCCGGCCACCCGGAAGGCCCCCAAACGTGCTCAACGACCGGAAAAAATCCTCCAAGATGGCCCAAGATGGCCTCCAAGATGCCTCCAAGACGGCCAAGATGGCCTCCAAGACGGGTAAGATGGCTCCAAGATGCCTCCAAGACGGCCCAAGATGCCCTCCAAGACGGCCAAGATGGCCCCAAGATGCCTCCAAGATGGCCCACGAGGCCTCCAAGACGTTCTCCAGGAGAGCCCGAAGAGGCCAAAATCATTGGTTTTCCTTAGGTTTTTGAAGGTTTTTTGCGTTTTCTTCTTTTCGGCCTTCCGACGGCCCAAGAGGCCCCCAAGATCGCCCAAGAGGCCTCCAAGAAGGCCCTATGACGGCCCAAGGGCCCCCCAAGACGGCCCCAAGAGCGCCCCAAGACGGCCCAAGAGGCCTCCAAGACGCCCAACATGGCCTCCAAGACGGCCCTGAAGCGCCCCAAGAGGGCCCCAAGACGGCCCAGAGAGGCCCCCAAGACGGCTCCAGACGGCGTCAGACGGACCAGGAACGCCCTAAGACGGCCAAAGAGACCCCCAGGAAGCCCCCAAAGGCCCCCAAGAGGCCCAAGGAGGCCCCCAAGATGCCTCCAAGAGGCCTCGAAGAGGCCCCCAAGAAGCCCCCAACAGACCCCAAGGGTGCCCCAAGAGACTCCTAACAACCCTCATCCTCCTACTCTATTTCTTCCTCTTCCTCTTCCTGTTCATAATCATTCTCTCCCATGTGTTCCCCGAAAGCTTTCCAAACCGACTCGGGGAACTCATGGTCCGATAGCTTGGCCAAGCTCTAGTCCAACTTTCGGCCACATCGGCGTTTCCAAAAAGGCAGGGGACGGCGGTGATTCGCCGTAGGCGTCTTCGATCCGCCGCCCCGTGCCGCTTGCCACAGGGGAGCACGGCGTGCAACTCGCCATCGCTCGGACGTCCATTTTTTGTGTGTTTTTGTTCGGCTTCGTGCGTGGCTTTTCCGCCAAATGCTCAACGATGCTCCTCGATGGCCCTCGCCGAAGACAAAATGCACAAGTCCGAGCGATGCCAAGACCCAGGCACGGTGGCGGGATGGGCGGAAGGCCGCTAGATCCGCCGCCCCGTGCCGCTTGCCACAGGGGAGCACGGCGTGCAAAACTTCTGAATGTTTTTTTATATTTTTTAAAAAAGGTTCCCTGTGGGGGTCTCGACCGATCGCGCCGGCCACGCAAACAGTTCATTTCCCGTCGGCCTCCTCCCCCGAAGACGGCCCCAAGATGGCCTTCAATACGGTGAAGATTACAGTCGGACTCAATTGGAGAGGACACGCGAGAGGAAACAACACCCGTCCGGGGGCCACGATGCCACAGGAATGCAGGAGGCATGGGTCGCCAGACACAAGACACGAGGGTACCCCTGATCTGGCAGGGCCGACCTACCAATCCGGGCCGCCTGCAACCAGAGACAGTCCAAGATGGTCCCCAGGTGCCGCCAAGAGGGCCCAAAGAGGCCCCCAAGACACCCCGAGAGGGCTCCAAGAGCACATCCGCGAGGCCACTCGCCTGTTCTGGCCCCCGACGCTCCAGGACGGCCCCACGGGCCTCCCAGAGCGCCCACGCACGGCCGAAAGAGAGTGCTCCAAGACAGCCCGAGAGGCCCCCACGAGAGACCCGAAAGACGGCTCCGAAGCGCCCAAAGAAAGACCTACGACTGCTCAGAGACGGCCCCAAGACGGCATTCGAAGGCCAAGAAATCCCTTGGGCCTCACGAGGCCTCCCCCTCTTCTTCCTCCTCCTCCCCCTCCTCCTCCTCGCCCTCCTTCTCATCCCTGTCCTCCTCCTTTCTGCTCATCTCTCAAATCTTCCTCCCTCGGAGTTCCACAACGGCTGGAGAACACATGGTCCAATATCTTGGCCAGGCTCGGGCCCAACGTCTGGCCGCAGTGGTCCCAAAAGCCTCGGGCCTACCGGCCCTGCGGACCACAAACACCGACTCCGTGGGCTTGCCCGTCCTAGATGGCACCAAGAGGGCCTCCGGCCAAGATGGCCCCAGGTTTCTTCGGGAGCGGCCAAGAGGGGGGTGTCCAGGAGGGGGGGGTGCAAATCATGACCGGCGGCATGTGCGCAGCCCAGCGGGGGGGCCAGGGACGTAATGAAATAAGAAGAGGCGCCATGAAATCTGGGGAAATACCATGGCCCACGCCACGAAATCCCCCTCCCCTAAGTCATCACCCCCCTCTTTTCCGCCCCCGATCCAAGGCGGCGAATGTGGCCTCCAAACCGGGCGGCCTCCAGATCGCACGGACAGGTGGCCTCCACGACTGCTCAAGACGGCTCCCAGGCGGCCCACGATGGCCCCAAGAAGGGGTCAAGACCGCCCTACAGTCGGGGCGTTGACCTAAGGAACCCTAAATAAGGAACGAGGCCCCTGTTTTCCACAAGTTAAACTTCGATGTCCGATCGAAAACAGAAGGAAAACCTGAGGCAAGCTGCGAAACACTTAAGGAACACGGAGCCCCTCCCCAACGAAAAGGGTTCTTTCTTCAGGGCCCCGACTGTAGAGGCGCTCAGTACGGACCAAGAGGGCTCCAAGAGACCCTGCAGGAAGGCCCACAAGGCTGGTGTATCTGAGCTTCTCGCGTTCTCCCCTTCCCGGGCGTCCGACAGCCAAAGACGGCCCGAGGGACATCCAAGATGGCCCGACACCAGCCCACGAGACCTCCCTGAGAGCCTCAATACGGCACACGAAGGCCTCACAGACAGTATTAGGTCGGGCCTGTCCCCCATACGGGGGGATGTTAGTGCAAATTGGAAGTAATCAAACAAATCGTCAAACATAGACAAATAATCGTCCCTTGGCTATTTCTTTACTATTCTTGAATCTTCCCCCTGTAGAAGGACAGGCCCGACTTAAAGACAGTTCCAAATCGCCCCACGAGGGCCCCAAGATGGCCCAAAAGAGGCACCCAAGACGGGCTTCGAGGCCGTCGTCGGCAGGGTCGAGAGGGCCCCGATTCTGCCCAGGAGGGCAAGGTCCCAAGGTAACCCGAAAGGCTCCTACGAAGCCACAGGAAGGCCCAACCAGCCAGCCTTAAGTCGGGCATGTCCCACTACAGAGGGGGATTTTGGACGACAAATGAAACGTGCCCCCCAAAAATAACCCAAAATGGTCAAAAGTACTCAAAGAATCGTCCCCGGACTTTTTTGTTGACTGTTTGAGAATATTCCCCCTGCAGAGGGACAGGCCCGACGCAAAACTGGCCCGAGACGAGCCCAAAGCGAGCCCCGAGACGACCGCAGGGGGCCCCTCCGTAGTGCTCCCACAGTGGTGCCCCCAAGCGGCGGGGAGCACCCAGATGACAAGCGTGGCCGCACCTCCGCTCGGCAGCCCACCACACAGCGTTCCAAGAGGGCAGGGCAGTGGGAACCGGTGCTTCGCGCGAGGCGCCTCCTGTGATACTCTTGCAGTGCTACACGCGATGCCTGCAGGCCAAGTGCCTGATTGATCCGCCACCGTGCCCCTGTCAGGGATGGACAGAACCTCCTTTCGTAAAACGTGGCTTCGTGAAGACGACCTCCGGTCCAAACCTGGCGGGCGCAGGCCCGGAAAAGGACGGCCGCGGCGCCCTCTCGAGATCCGAAAACGGCCAATTCACTAATCGACGTGTCAGGGTCGGGGCTCTGTCCACCCCCGACTCCTGGCATGACATGGAATGCCCCGGGGGCTCATGCGTCCTGCTTCCCGCGCGCCCTCCGGCGCTGCCAGGTGCTTCCGGGGTGCCTTGCGAGGGCCTATAGAACGTTCCACTCGCCCAGGAGGGCCCCCAGACAGGCCAAGAGAGCCTCGGGGTACCGCGGGAGGGCACAGAATCGCCGAACGATCGCTCCAAGACGCCCAAGATAGCCTCCAGACGGCCCAAGAGGTATCGAAGAGGCCCCAAGGGGCCTCCAGGAGCACTCCCAAGAGGGCCCCGAGAGGCACATGTCATGGATGATCCTTAGGTGTTTGCATGATTTTGACGTTCTCGCCTTTCGGCTTCCCGACGCTAACCCACAGCCCTCGGCGGTGGACAAACCTCCCTTTAGTAAACCTCCCCTTAGTGAAAACGGCGTGGGACCGAAACCGACGGACCTGGACCCGCAAAAATGACGGCCGCGACGCCCTCTCGCGAACCGAAAACGGCCAATTCCTCAATCGACGTGTCAGGATAGGAGGTCTGTCCAACCCCGAAGCTCAGGAGGCCCTAAATTTCGCCCCAAGACAGTCAAAGAGCCCTCCAAAAGGGCCCCAGAACGGCCCAGGACGCCTCCGCGTCGGCGCAAAGAGGCCCCCAAGACGGCTCCAAAGAGGGGGCCCAGACGGGGGACCCGAACGGACATTTCGAGCCCTCGGCCCCGAGAGGGCCCCAGGAGGCCCCGAGAGGCCCCCAAGAAGCCCCGAAGTGGCTCCAAGAGGCCCCCAGGAAGTCCCAAGAAGCCCCCAGTAAGCTCCCAAGAGGCCCCCAAAACTGCCCCCCAGAGGCCCCCACGAGCGCTCCGAAGAGACCCCACGAAGCATCCCTGAGGACTCTGACCCACAACCCAGACACGGTGGCGGGATCGGCCGAGGCCCATTCGTATAAATGGAAAATTATAGCAAGGCCATGGTGCCATCATTACGGCTGTCGCGTATGGTGCCACGCAGAGGCCGACGAACAGCCAGCGCGCGCCATCTTGCCCTGAGGGCACGGTGCACCGAAAAAGCTGGCAGGTGCCACATGCTCGCGCCCACCTCTTTGTCTAGGGGCCTCCTAGATGGGGTCGGAGTAGATGGGGTCGGAGGATCGCGCCGCATCGCCGACACCTCGGCGATGCACCGGCAACGTATCGGCGATGCACCCGCGATGCATCGGTGACGTCGGCGATGCATCGGCGTCGTCGGCGTGAAGCAGGTCGTCGGGCTCCGCATCGAGCCGCATCGCCGATGCATCGGTGATGCGGCGCGATCCTTCTACCCCGTCTCTACTCCGACCCATATGGGAGCCTCTGCGCCTCGCGTGCCGAACAACGCCCTCACAAGTCCTCGGGGGGGATGAGATGGCGCGGCCAGTACGGCGGGTAAGTTCTCTTGCCGTCCTCCCGGGCCTTCTCCGGTGTCCTCTCGAGCACCGTCACTCCGCCGCCGAGCTGCACTTGCGCTGGAGCCTCAGGCGTGGTGGCTGGCGCGGGCGATGCAGCCACCGCAGGCGCGGGCGCAGCGACCACTGCAGCTGCGCGGGCGGTGGCGGCGCCGCTGACCATGGAAGCAGCAACGAGCTCAGGCTCGGCCTCAATGACTGCCGCAGCGGCGGGCTCAGACGCGGCCTCGTTGATTGTGACGTCAACCTCGCTGATGCTGGCGACAGCCTTCGGCTCTTGCGAAGGAGTCGACTTGATGGTGCTGACGTCAATCTTCCTTGGCTGCGCGTCGGCCCTCTTCCAACCGCCCCGCGGCTCGAACATGAAAGGGTCTTTCTTCTCCATCTCTAATGCCTCGAAGATGCTCGCGTCGATACCGTCTGCCATTGCGTTCAGGGCCAACGCGGAGAATGGTTCCTCAATCTGGAGCCCGATCTCCTCGATGCCGAAGACAAAAAAGGCGATGAAGGCAGTGATCGGGACGATGAGCCAATGGGGGGTGATCGCACCGTAAAGCGCAAACGGGAGTGCAAGAGTCCAAACACTCAAGAATCTCGAGGTCAGGCGAGTGAACGACAGTGGCATTGGCGTCTTGAAGATACGCTCGCACATGCCATAGTAGTCCGAAAACTTTGTGATGTCTTGGTCGATCTTCATCTCATCGATCACTGGCAGCTTCGCGCGGTGGATCGCGTTTGACAACATGCCAGTGACAGTCATGGGCTTGTGAGTGCACTTCAACAGCCTCTCGGTCTCCTCGTCAGTCAAAATCTTGCGGTACTTCTTCTCGATTACCAAGTTGGATATCTCTGTGCGTTCACCGAGATGGTAGATCAACGAGCGCGGGTAAGCGGACACCAAGCGAGTCACCTCCTCCTTGAGAGCCATGTCCTTCGGATCCATTCGCACGAGGGACTGACGAACGATGTCGCGGCATGTGTTGATGATGGCACCCCAAATGCAGCGTGCCTCCCACCATCGCTCGTACGCCTTGTTCGTACGGAAGACGAGCAGGAGAGAGAGGGAGGCCGAGCTGAGGGTGAACGGCAAGGCCGGCAACGACAAGTCCGGAAGATTCCTCGCGAACGTCATCGCCTCGGGGCCGAGGTTGAGTACGTTGGTGACGGACTCAGCATCGTTCCATAGGCACAGTGCGATAGCGACGGTGATGGCGGAGGTGACCTCCTTCCAATTCGCTCGAATGGTAGTCGAAACGGGCAGGCTCCCCAAGTTCTTCGTGAAGCGCTGCGCGGAACGGTGCCGCTTCCAGTCTGCGTACCTGACAGTGCGACAAACGATACAACACAACGTTCGCCGGTCACTACGTGGGGCCAAGGCTTTGGATGTCACGTGACACTTCTGTGCGCCATGAATGTCTGTAGTACCCGCTGGCCTGAATATGTTGGCGGCGCGCACAAGGGGGTGGGGGAGGGGGGGCGGCTTCCTAGAACGAGGCTGCTCTTAGAGGGGGCCGGCCTTACATCTGTAGACAAGGCCCGCGCCTCCAAAGGAGCAGGGTGCTTCTAAGAAGCCTTCCTCCCTCCTCCTACCCCCATTTGCGCGTAGCCGGATATGAGGCCTCTGGTTCCGTCACACGTTGTTCTGATTCACGGTGGTGAGAGATTGCCCACCGCCCGCTGCGACTTCTCCCCCCCCGACCCTTTCCCGCCTGCCCCCCAAAAGCAGGGCCCGATCTTCACATCCCCCAGGGTGAGACCCCTTGCACGTCGCGAGCCATGATACCATGCTATCTAGTCACTGCCCGGAACTTCTGGTAGGTGTAAGGGGATGTTCGCCAGAAGCTGTCTCCTCATCCTTAGCCCATCCGTTATATTCTGGCATCCACCTCCCCTCCGCCTCCTGCTCCTCCTCATCCTCCCCGACCATCCTCCGCCGCGCCAACTCTCTCGGGTGCTTGTGACACCCGCTCGCGGCCCCATCCCAATCCTGAACCTGCTCCTGCTCGTGCTGCTGCTCCTGGTACCTCCTCGACGGCTGCTGCTGGTCACTGCTGCCGCTCCTTCCGTCCATACCAAAGAGCCGACCTCTACACACCGACGCTTTTTCCGGCCCCGCACTGACGGCCCCACACTGAGACTCGCGCAAGGAAGCGGAAGCTGGTGTATACGGGATCCTCGTATACATGTTTCGTTTTTCCTCTAGAGAACGGGGGCAAAATATACACCACATCACCCCAACGTCGTCCCCGATCCTCAAAAGTCCTCGGGGTGAAAAGAGCCCGCCACTGATAATGTATATGCTTCAATTTCCGGCATACCTTCGTCGTCCTCGTCTTCCGCACCCTCGACTACAGCAGCACACGTCACCATGGACATGGGGATGTGATTGTTCCTTTCACACCTGAGCACCCGAAAACCGGGCGGCGGTAACGCCTGTCCTCCTCAATGTACTCGTCCGTGTTCGTCAGGACATTCCAAAGCGAGCCGTCCAAGTCCATCGCGCTCTCCTTGGCACGACCAAGATGGGTACGGATCAGAATGGGGTACGATGCCCAACAGCAAATGATGCCGAAACTGACAGAGGCCACTGTTGGACAGGCGACTCCCTGTCCCAAATGGACAACGTTCGCGGCGACACGGACAACAACTCCGGAACATAATGGACGACAGGACCTGTTGTCGGTCTTCGTCCCCATTCTTTCAGCACCCACTCCGACCGCCCCGCTCTCCTGGTCGGTGTTCTCTGGGGTCTGGCCGCCGCGCGCCCCCCTCTGCGGCAGCCCCCGTGCGGGGCTCTGCCGCCGGCGCCCCAGCGCGAGCGCGGCGGCAGCCGCGGCGCCAGCGACAGCCGTGGCGGCCAGCGATGCGGCCGGACGCGGCGCGGCCGCCGCCTCTGAAGGTGCCCCAGGACACACAAATAAATACACTAAAATAAACATATTCCCCGTATGTTCCCATATTTTCTGGGTTTCTGTCTTCCCCCCCACTTCCCATATTTTCCCATATTTTCTGGATAATCGGGGATTCATCGTGTCTGTGTGTTTCTTCCCCTCCTGAGCCTCGCCCAACGCGTGGGCGCCCGGGGCCCCCGCGGCGTCCTTCGCGGAGCCGCCGCCGAGGGGCTGCCTCGCGGCGGGGCCCGCGCTCGCGCGCGTGCCCGGCGCGGCCCACGACGAGCTCGACGGCCTCGTCGCGAGGAGCGCCGCGACTGCGAGCGAGACGACCACGGCCGGTGGCAGCCAGGACCTCGCGCGGGAGCCCCACATCTTGGCCGCGGAGGGCGGCCCCTGGGCGCGGGGGCCAGATGCGAACCCTACCCCTGACCCCCCCACGATTTCTGAGGGGGAGGGGTGGGGTTCACTCCGATCGGGAGCTCTCCCGAGCGAAGTGAACCCCACCCTCCCCCTCAGAAATCGTGGGGGGTAGGGGTAGGGTTCGCATCTGGCCCCCTACCTGGGCGCGGGGGCGCCCGGTGTGGTCCCTCAGACGAGGCTTGAGCC